TCCAAAAACAGTTGAGTTTATGAACTTTTTAAAGATTTATTTGAAAGACAGAGGTCTTCCTTTTGCTGGTTCACTCCCCAAATTGCTATAACAGTCAGAGCTGGATCAGGCTAAAGTCAGGAGCCAGGAACTTCTTCCAGGTCTCCCACACAAGTGCAGGGGTGCAAGGACTTGGGCCATCCTCTGATGCTTTCCCAGGCACATTAGCAGGGAAGTCGAGCAGCCGGGACTCGAATCAGCAATGATATGGGATGCAGGTGTTGCATGCCAGGGTTTTAACCCACTTTGACAGTGCTGGCCTCTATTTGTCCACTTGATCAAGTAGGATAAAGGTGCATGGAATTGAGAGTGTTGCTCTAATAGGTGTGCAAAAGATAAAGCCATGGAACTCAAGGTTTAGTGAGGAAGAGAAGCAAAGGAGCCAGGGGCAGAAAATGCTCAGTGGAGGAATATAGGAATTAAAAAACTAGACAGGGGTAGGCACTTGTTCCAACTGTTGACACCACTTGGGACAGCTATATCCCACGTTGGAGCACCTGGGCTCAAGCTCCAGTTCTGCTCCTGAGCCCAGCTTCCTGCTCTTGCACATCCTGGGAGCCAGCAGTGATGGCTCAAGTAGTTGAGTCCCCTTATCCCTAGTAGGAGACTTGTATTGAGTTCTTGGCTCCCAGGCATTTGGGGAGTAGACTAGGTGATTGGGGCTCTTTTTCTTTCTCCATATCAAATAAAAATCAGTAATTAAGAGTAGCTATTTATGTCCAACCAGACAGAAACTGAGTTAGGAATTGCTTTAGACGTAAGATACCACAAAGCTGACCATTGTAATTTAATCAAATGAGGGTTTATTTCAGTCATGTAAGAAAACCAGAATTGGGCAGTCCAGGCAGGTTCAGAGGGTCCAGCCCCATTATCGATGACCTAAGCTCCTTCTACCATTCTGTTCTCTACTACTAACATGGTTACCTCATGGTTGCAAGATGGCTGCCTTCAGATCAGAGAAAGTAAGTTGAGGCAAGGACAGGGAAATGGCAAAAAGTCTCTTTCCTCTATTAAGCTTTCCAAGAAGGCACAATCACAGATTTACACTCTTACCTCAGTGGCCAGATCTATCTCATGAGTGTTCCTAGGGCACACTGTGTCTCTCAATGAAGTCTGAGTAGAGGAAGTAAGAAGTTTCTCTGCAATCTGACATACTAGGAGACGTCTCTAACTCCAAACCATCTAACCATTGGAAGTGAATCAGACAGCACTGTGGCATAGCGGGTAAAGTCATTGCCTGCAGTGCCGGCATCCCATATGGGCACCGGTTCAAGTCCTGGCTACTCCACTTCCAATCTAGCGCTCTGCTATGGCCTGAGAAAGCAGAAGTTGGTCCAAGTCCTTGGGCCCCTGCACCCAGAGGGGACCCGAAAGATGTTCCTGGCTTCAGATTGGCACAGCTTCGGTAGTTTTGGCCATTTGGGGAGCGAACCATCGGAAGACTTTCTCTGCCTCTCTGTAGCTCTGCCTTTCAAATCAATCAATCTTAAAAAAAAAAATGAATGAGGTAGCAGAGGAAGTTAGGTAACATCTAAATCAGTGAGACTTATCACATGAAATACAGACTAAAACAGAAAACTAAATGAATGCCTTCAGATAAGAAATACAACCCAAGCAACAAAAACAAGATGGTTTAACAGAACAATGAGAAAAAGTGAAGGAAATCTCCCTCAAAGTAGAACATTTAAGTAATGGAAGGCCCATTAAGGACCAGGAGATCATCAAAGCCTAAACACAACGACTGCTCACCACGAAGGAAGGCAAAGGACTTACAAAGTCAGCATGAAATTTCAGAGCATTAAGGTCAGAAATAAAAGACACAAACCTTTTGGAGGAAAAAAGGTAACATAAAAGATTAGGGATAACAATGAATTTCTCAAACATTAGAAGGCAGACAGCGGGAGCAACATTTTCCAAATACTGAGGAAAAATAATTCCTTTCAAACAAGATTTCTATACCAAATAAAGTACTGATACTTGCTGAGTATCAGAAAAAAAGCACCCCATGCCTCCTTGGAGAAGCTCCTGGTCTATTAGCATGAAGGAAAAGGAAAAGGATCAACATAGGAGAGGGGAGGGAGCAGGAGGTTGGAGAATTCTATGAAGAATTTGTCTTGGAAGGAAAATGGAATCAGTGAATTGTCAGGTTTGACTGCAGGGCAAACCGTAATGAAGATAGAAAACAGAGCTGTTCAAGTTGGATACTGAAAGAAAAGACTTTAGGGGTGGGCATTTGCTGTGGGACTTAAGATACTACTTGGGACACCTGCACCTCGTATCAAAGTACCCGAGTTCAAGTCCTGGCTCCACTTCCCATCCAGCTTCCTGCTAATGCACACCTAGGGAGGTGGCAAATAATGCATCAGGTACTTGGGTCATTGCCAGCCATGTGGGATACCCATGTTGAATTCCTGGTTCCTTGCTTCAGCCTGGCCCATCCCTGGTTACAGCATGCATCTTAGGGAGTAAATCACCAGATAGATACTAATAGCACACATAAAAAGTACACCAGAGAAACTCGAATCAGACTCCTATTTGGCTTGTAATAAGAGTAATATTTACAGGGGCTCACCTTGTTAATCCTTCGCCTGCAGCACCAGCATCCCATATGGGCGCCGGGTTCTAGTCCTGGTTGCTCCTCTTCCGGTCCAGCTCTCTGCTGTGGCCCAGGAGGGCAGTGGAGGATGGCCCAAACACTTGGGCCCCTGTACCTGCATGGGAGACCAGGAAGTAGTAGCTGGCTCCTGGCTTCGGATTGGTGCAGCACTGGCTGTAGCAGCCATTTGGGGAGTGAACCAATGGAAGGAAGACCTTTCTGTCTATAACTCTACCTGTCAAGTAAATTAAAAATATTTACAGGCATATAATAACGAAGACAACATGGATTTAACAAGTTTGAGATTTACCTTTAGAAGGATGGAGGGAGAAAATGGAGTGTGAAATAAACTGCTAATTTTTCAAAACAGTCAATAGAGGGGAGTTCTAGAAGTGAATATTTAAGATAGTTCCTAGTATTTAGAAACAGGAGCACTGGGCTAAATGTGGCCACCTGGGAGGCGGGAGTCAAGAAGAGGTGGCTTTCCTTATAAGCTTATCACTACTTTTAAGATAGGAGAGAATAAGCAAAGTCAGTGGGAAAGGAGAGCCGTCTACTCAACATAAACTGGAGCTTGTTAGATGCAACCTCTTGGGTCCCAGTCTAGACCTACAGAATCAGCCTGGATCACCTTTCCATTAATTTAAGAAGAGTATGCCTTCTCACTTCATGGGAAAGGCAGAGACCTTCCACCTGCTAATTCCCTCTCCAAATGCCACCACAGCCACAGCCGGGAGCTGCTGACTCCAGGAGTTGGATACTCCATCCAGGTCTCACACAAGTGACCCAAGTACTTGAGCCATCAGTGGCTGCCCCTTAGGCTGCCCATTAGCACGAAGCTGGATAGGAAGCAGTGGAGCCAGAACTCAGATCAGGCACTCCAATACGGGATGTGGGTACCCCAAGCAGCTACTTAACTGCTGTGCCAAACACTCACCCCTCAGCCTGCTTATTTTGAGAAGCACTGACAGTGTAGGAGGACAATTAGTGGGCATACATTATCAAAGGGTTGAAGTCAGAGTTCAGCCCAGTGTTTTAGGTAAATTCACCCTTTTCACTTGCCTATACTCTGACATTGCTGCTCAGTGCCCTTGACAAGCCTTGATCTTCCTGGTATTTCAAATTGTTTCCAGAATTTTCTGTCCTGGTCATCACTTCCTTCATGATTTGGGGAGTTTCACTTCTTTACCTCACAAAACCCGCTAAGATAGGGACTTGTGAGTATGTTGTTACTGTTTTCAAACTGTTTCTGTATATTTTAGTCACAAGATCATGGAACTCTGAATAGATCAGCTGCTCAATAGAGGCTCATCAATCTGGTTCTTTCAAGTAGTAAGCCAGGACAGAACAGCAAATAAAAATCCCTGCCTCCCAGAAAAAAAAAAAAAAAAAAAAGGCAACTAGAAATAAGGCACAATTCTAAAAGCACTTAGAGTAGTTCATGTAATTCTAATGTAGGTGTTAGATAAGGAGGTTAATCTTAAGTTCTCAGAACTTACTTTCATAGCATAAGATCTATAAAGCTTTTTTAAATGGTTCGAGGGAAATTATTAACCACATATGCCATTAGTTGCTTTAAGTGTAAGACAGGTACTAAAGCCATTCAAGCCATAGCAATTGGTCTTTGGACTAAACAGTTTAGTGACTTTAATTTTTTTTATTGACAGAGTTAGACCTTTCTGTCTGCCTTCCGTTGGTTCACTCTAATGGCCGTTATGGCCGGCGCTGCGCTGATCCGAAGCCAGGAGCTTCTTCCTGGTCTCCCATGTGGGTACAGAGACCCAAGCACTTGGGACATCCTCCGCTGCCCTCCCGGGCCACAGCAGAGAGCTGGACTGGAAGAGGAGCAACCGGGACTAGAACCCAGCACCCATATGGGATGCTGGTACCTGGCCCAACTTTGTAATTTTTTAAAAAACAGAAAAACTCAGAATGAATTATGAAGTTAAGTTACACCACAATTTCCTGATTCATTTGAGTGCAAAGTCTGGCTTAAATATGGTACCTATAAACATTAGTAACACATTTATCAAATGTAAATCTTAAGACATTTAGAGACACAAATTTAAAGATGTTTTTAAAATGCTTCCTGTGATCAAAGATCCCATCTTTTATTACTGTGAGGACTCCTGTATGCAAATTAGCTTCACTTACACAAACTGACAACGTTGACTTTACACATGACAATATTAAACAGGAACTAACAAATACCACATAAATATTCCTTATTTTGTAGTGTTCTTCTCCTCATCACCGTTTTCTGGTACAGAACATTATACGCTGCAGGCCTGCCCGGCACAGAACTTTCAAGATACACATACCTGGGACCAGTTGTATGATTGTTTATGTAAAGGACAAAGCAGTCTTAGTTTGTGAATGAACATTTTTTTATTTTTATACCATAATCCAAATTGTAGCTTTTCTGGCTTGTTGAATGTTTCAACTAAATTTAATTTACAAAAAGATTTCTCCCACATTACACTAAATCATTCATTGTGGTTTTTTATTTTCACCAGATTTTTACAAATAAAATCATTTTGATGGCTCTCTAATCCCTTAAATTACACATTGTCTAAAACCTGTCTGGGTTGAAAGAGTCGATTCTGCCTAATTTTTCCAAGTTCAGTATAAATTACTGTGATGGAAACACTGATCATCCTCTTCCAGTAGTCCAGTCTGCGTTAAAATTCTTCCTCTGCCTGCTTGCTACGGGACTGCTTAAGCTGCTGTAGCCGCTCGATGGTTTCAGAAATGGTGCGCTCCCCATGGACCTTATTATCTCTGGTACGGATATTAACTGTGCCACTGGTTTTCTCTTTTTCACCAACAACTAAAACATAAGAGAGCTTGGTTAGACTTGTCTAGAGATAAGGATTACTAATGAATATCAAAACCACCTCTTTATAGTTCCCAATATGTTAAAACACATTTGACCTAAAAATCTACTTTAAAAAAAATGGGGTCATTTAGTCCAGGCAACTTAATAAAAACTTTTCTTGCCTTCATCTTTTATCTCTTCATATAAAAACTTTCAGACACACCTTTTAAGACATTTAATGAAATTTTCATAATCAGGACTGGAAGGAACTAAACAGAGAATTCATTGGAGCCTAAGGTCTCAGTATTTTCCTTCCTTACCCAGGATGAAGTTATACTGGGCTAACTGTGCGTTCCTGATCTTCTTATTCAGTGTACAGCCAGCATCCAGGTCAATGTCCGCCATGAACTTAGCATCATGGAACTGCTGCCGGACCTATTTATACAGAAATACCTTATTCATTAGCTCTAGAACGAGACATTCAGGCAAGCAGGAGAAAAGGAATGCTAACAAAAAGTATACATTAATTTGTGACTTTTTTTTTTTTTTTTTACAAAACACTGCCTTTGAGAGATGAAATGCCCTAGAACATTTTGAAAATCGGAATCAAAGCAATCAAGTAAACCTAATTAGCTCTCTTAAGATGTTTATAAATTAATTGCTTTCCCTTTGTGATGTATAGTTTATCAGCTTACATATAACATCCAATGATGGATTTCTAATCCCATGCATATGCAGCGAGTCGGTAATAACAGGAATCCTCCAACCACTGCCATTTTTGTGTGCAATATTTTTTAAGCTAAAATGCCGATAGCACAACCAGGTTAAAATCATCCCAACTTTTCTGTTGCTGGAGAATGGAATATAAAATGCCATTAAGAATTGTCTAACACTAATTAACTGAACATGATGATTACTATGTTAAATAGAACTCTAAGTTTTTCTCAACTGATTTATTTATAATTTCTTTAATCAAGAAAAAATTAAAAGAAAGCAGAAGACAGATTAAAGCCAAAGATCAAATCAAGATTGTTAAATGAAGTTCCAGAAATGTACAGTTGTTTTTACTCCCTCAAAAATGCCAGTTCTGCTATATTGCCTTAGGTCCATGTTTATCAAGTAGACTTATTTTCAATATCAAAGCAAAAACTAGGTTAAAATTTTCTACCCAATAATTACAAAGGTTTTTCAAATCAAGATTCTCATGGGTATTAATTAGTCCTATAACCTTAAAATGTAATAATGAAGATTTACTAGCCTAAAAGTAATACTAGCCATGAAGGATAGTTAAAAAAAAAAATCTTCTGTTTATAACCTGCTTTGAGTTTAGCTCTTATGTTCAAAACACCCCACATCTGGTTTATAAACCAGTTTTTACACAGTGTGATTAACACGAAGAAGAGGCGGAGTAAGTGAAAACCAGCGAGCTTTACCATCTGCCCAGCCTTTATTCTTGCAAACACACAAGTTACAGAGCAGAATCACCACCACACGACCTAGAAACACTAAGAAGGGGTCCAGTTTCTGGAAGTCCTGGTTACAAAGCAGAATGAATGTTTCCATGGAAATCTTTTAGGTATGGAAGTTTAAATTGTAACTGTCATCAGTACTCCATTATCACCAGTAAAATTAGCTTTCTTAGGCTGACCCAGGCATCCAAATAGCCCAAATCATCTACAATACACTAATTTTGTATGTGTTATATGATCTTTGTACTAATATTAGCCATACAAATAATTTTTATGCTTTAGTGGTCTTTAACTAGTTAACTTGGGATTTTTTAAAATGTTAACTTGGGATTTTTTAAAACACAATTTCTAAAGATTTTGTTACATTTCTCTACTATAAGCTTTAAGAACACTTCCTAAAATATCATTACATTAGAACAGACTCTTCTAGCCTGTAAGGTATAAGTAGGAATGGCTATTTACACATTTGCTAGTTTTTTTAGCAGGAAGGGTAAAACATTCATCCACCATGATGCCAACTGAAAAATTCTGGATTAAAAACAAAGCAGAATTACTCTTTAACCCAAAGAGCAGCCTGAACTGCATTTTACATCTGAATTCACACATCATGTTGAGGTACTTGTTGGTTTGGTTTTTAAAATACTAAATGCTACAATGTACAAGTGTTGTGTCTATACAATACTATCTGAATGTCTTCTGATCAAGTACTCATGTACAAAAGCACTGAAAAGGTAATATAATCATACTCTATACTTTGTGCATCTTTGTGGGTATAGTCTGTTGAAATCTTTATATACAGAAGATCAACTTAGACTAAGTAAAGATAATTGAAAATGAATCTTGAAGAATGGGGTGGGAGGGAGGTTATGGGGAGAAAAACCACTATAATCCAAAAGTTGTACTTTTTACCACATCTAGAAAACAGTTAAATTTCACTCATAATGTATGGCTTGAGATCTGAAACACTTAACAAGAGGTGTTGAAGAAAAACCTTAGTTAAGGATTACCTTTTGAGCATATTCATCACAGGTTGGCCCCACTGGAACGACCATTACCTGGCGAGGAGACAGCCAGAAGGGCCTTTAAAAGAAGACAAACTTTACTGCAGATCTGGATACACTATCTAACAAGGATGACACAATTCTTACTCTGCTCTTTATCTGTTCTGAAGCATGGAAGGATACTTTTTTCATCAAGGGGAATACAGTGCCCTGAGTTTATCATTTTGCAGGATTCAGCTACAATTAAGTTGGCACTTAGGATTCCTACTCAGAAAAGATTACAAGTTTTGGTGCAGTGATTCGTTTTACTGAACACTTGTCACTGACAAGGAGGGACTCTTCAGAATATTTCATTACTAAATTGGAAAGTTGTTGCTCACTTACACTAGACAAAACCAGAGAAAATGACAGAAGTTACCATTTCCCCCCATAGTTTTCTGTGAGGATGGCAATCATTCTCTCCACAGACCCCAGGATGGCACGATGAATAATCACTGGCCTCTTCTTGTCATCACCATCATGGCTGGGAAGAAAAATATTTTGCCTTATATATGCATTTCCTCTTGTATATTTCTAGAGAAAATTCTGACCTGAAACCAGAAACTCACCTTACAAAGGTAAGATTAAAGCGGATGGGCAGCTGAAAATCCAGCTGGATGGTGGCACACTGATGGTACCGACCAATTGCATCTTTAATCTGTATGTCAATCTAAGAAGACAGGGCCAGGTTACCATAAGACATTGAGTTAAAACTCAGCTCAACAGTGGGAATAAGGCTAATTTTTCCTTTTTAAATTTAAAAGAATCTCCTCTTCACCCACAAATGAAAATTACATTACTCAAAAAATACTTTGGTACTAACCTTTGGACCATAAAAAGCTCCATCTCCAGGGTTTAACTCCCACTTTTCACCAAATTCATTCAGACTGTTTTCAAGTTGCTAAAGATAAAGCAAAATGATTTTTTATTTTTGTTTACCTACAACTTCCCTTCTGGACCAACCTGAGACTCAAAATACAATTATTTTCATGGATCACTATTCTCAACTTTGTAATTTTGTCCCCTTAAACTTATGCTCATATAAACCCCTTTTTGGGGCCAGTGCTATGGCACAGTGAGTTAAGCTGTGTCCTGCATTGCCGACATCTCATTTGGATGCCTGCTAGAGTCTCAACTGTTCCACTTCCAATCCTGCTCTCTGCTAATGCGTGTGGGAAAGCAGTGGAAGATGACTCAAATCTCTGGGCCCTGTACCAGTGTGGGAGACCCAGAAGCAGCTACTGGCTTTGGATCGGACCAGCTCTAACCATTGCAGCCATTTGGGAAATCGCTTACCTTTCAAATAAATAAATCTTTAACAAGGGTATTTAAGTTTACAGCTTATCAACAAGGGGCTGGTGTTGTGGCGTAGAGGGTAACAAGACACTTCCATCTTATATTAGGTGCCTGTTCATGTCCTAGCTGCTCCACTTCAGAACCAGCACCCTGCTAATGGCTTGGGAAAAGCAGTAGAAGCTGACCTGAGTAACTGGGCCCCTGCCACCATTTGGGAGACCCAGATGAAGCTCCTGGCCCATTGCTGGCCATTGCTATCATTTGGGGGAGTGAAGTAGCAGATCTCTCTCTCTGTAAACCTTTCAAAATAAAATTGAAAAATAGCTTGCAGCTTGGTAAATGAAATAACATTCAATCATTGGTGAAACAAGCTTCCTCACACCTAGGAATCATTTCCAATTCTTTCTGCTTTAATCCTTTTAAGGAGGCCAATTTCAGATAGTGTCTGTCCCATCAAAAAACACCACTTACTTTCTCAGCTTGATTCCATACTTCAATATCTCCAAGGAATTTTTCAGGGCGAGTAGAAAGGTTCAGTTTAAAAGAAAATCCAAATACATTATATACTGTTCGTAGAAAATCCAAACAACCTTTTATTTCATCTTCAATCTTTAAATTTAGAAAGCACAGAAAAGAAAAAATACTTTGAAAAATGGAAATACTTTGGAAGCCAAGAAAAATTTTTATCTTACTGGGTCTCATACCTGCTCCATGGCACAGAATATGTGAGCATCATCCTGCTGGAATCTTCGTACCCGGGTAAGTCCTGTGAGTGCCCCTGACAGTTCATTCCTATGTAGGACCCCAAAATCAGCAACGCGCAGGGGCAACTCCCGCCAGGATCTTGGCCGATGGTCAAACATAAGGCTGAAAAAAAAAAACCATGAAATTTGAAATCTACCAATCCTGAACTCTAGGAAAGTGAAACTGCTTCTCTACTATGACATCTAATTCCATGCTTTTCTGATTACACAACTTGTTTTTAATAATTGTTTTGGGGGCCTAGCATTCTGGGTACAGGTGATGCCTGGCTGTTCCATTTCCAATCTAGCTCCCTGCTAATATGCCTGGGAAAGCAACAGAAAATGGCCTGAGAACTTGGGTCCATGCCACCCATACAGGACACCAGGATGAGGCGCCAGGCTTCGGTCTAGTCCAGCCCTGCCACTGAGGCTATCTGGGGCTTGAACCAGCAGATGGAAGATCTCTGTTTCTCCCTCTCTCTGTCTGTCAAATACATAAACCTAAAAAAATCTTTTGAAGGAGGTAAAGCAAGCTAAAACTGTGGCACAAGTAAATCTTCAATAGAAACTCAAAGCTGCTGAATACCAGTGTCCTGGGCAGTTCATGGGTTTAAGAGCAAACAGCTCCTTCTCCACCTCAAAGGAGAACATGTTCTCACTGTAGTGCTGCCAGTGGCCTGAGGTCATCCACAGTCGGCTGTTGTAGATGTTTGGGGTGACAACCTCCTGGAATCCTCTTTTCCTATATTCACTCTGTTAAGAGAACAAACAGTACAAATGTAAGCAAACAAATGTTTACCTTTCTGATAGGAGTAAAAAGTTAAAGTGTGATTTTTATACTAAGTGATACATGGGCTATTACTCAGAAATTGCACTTCTAGGTATATTCCAAAAGGGAACCTCTTATACATGTACATAAGGAAGCTTAAACAAACCAGGCTAACCACATCGTGTTTAGGAATATGGGAAACTCAATTTATAGTACTCAAAGTGATAAAGGAATAATATGTAACACCTGAAAATAAACAGTATTTGAAAAAATATCACAATAGACAATGTAATAATTTAAGGGTAAATATTTGGGGTACTAAGGATCCATGTCAACTTCAAAACAGTTTCTTCTTGGAAAGGAGTAGAAAGCATTAGAAAGAGGTTCCAAAAGGAGACTTCTTAAAACTTATATAATTTTCAAACATAGCACAATATATTTTTAAAATTTGGGTGGTAAGTACACAAATTCTCTTTCAATTCATGTTTGAAATTTTATGGTTCAATGTAAAGACTAGCTTGCTTTTTTAAGGAAGCTATAAATGAAAGGTCAAAGATCTCCTACACAAAATATACAGAGTTACACGTCCTACTTCAACTTCATCTGCCTGTGTACAGCTAAGTAAATGGACAAAATGGTATGTTAGGAAGTAAGTATTCTTACATGACCTATGAGACCCCAGACATCAAAATACAAATTTTTATCTTATATCCTAAATCTTAAAATAATGAAAATGATTTACCCTGATGAATTCCATAAGTGTGTTATAAATATAGGCTCCCTTTGGCAGGAAAAAGCAACTTCCAGGGCTAAGTTCATGGAAGAAATAGAGTTCCTGGTCCTGTAGAAAAAAAAAGCTTAAGATTGTACTTAAATGCATACAAACCAAACTTTAGAAAACTAGAGTATAGCAGTCATGTCCCATATTTCAATTAGTACCAATGCTGAATCAAACCATCTATTTCTGGTGCACAATTTAATGGTGGGGAATTGTAGCTGATTTACAATTTCACATAGGCCCATTTCTGCCGGTTACATTCCCCAGTCAAGATTCCAAAACAGTGACATCTTCCACTGCCCACACTGAGAGATCTTTAATTCCTCGAGGTTTCAACTTCATTTGTTCTTTCCTCCTCTCTCTACCCTGCCCTCCCTTTCTCTCCTACAAAACAAAGGGCAGGAAAGAGAATGGGACACTGATAATCAGGAGGAGGAGGAGAGGAAGATGATTAACTTTGGGTCATGTGAAAGACAATCTGCTTCCTCATTGCCCCCATAATCCCAAGTACCCAAAGCTCTCAGGGACACCCCGGTCCTCCTCCTAATCACTGCCAGCTTCCTCACTGGTACAAGCGACTTCCCAAAGGAGCATGGCCTGGCTGCTGTCTTCAGCTCAAACTTCATCACCTGACAATCAAGGACCTCTGGCACAGAATGGGCCCTATTTCAGGGGAGAATGATTACATCAACATTAACTTCCAATCTGAGGCTATATCCAGTGGTAAGCAGAGAGTGAAGGAAATGAGACAAAGAATCCACTGGTGACCTGATGTCACCTTGGCCAGCAAGTAGATTAGTATGTCTGGGTCTCAGTTTCCACATCTTTAAAATCAGTCAGACTAGATGTTTCCTAAATGTAGTTCTCCTGGCTCTATGAAATAGCTATAGCTCTTTTACAGAAAACTACAATGCATTTTTGAGTATGAAACATACTCCATAATACGTGAATAACCAGTAGCCCATAGTTAATTGAAAGCTATAGCATCTCTTCAAAAGGAAATTTCTAGTACTTAACACAACTACATTTCACATTTCAAACTAAAGAAAAACAGAATACATCACTGCTCTTTTACATACCCTCCCAATTTTCCTATGATCTCGGTTTTTAGCTTCCTCCTGGAACTTTTCCCACTCTTTCAACATTTTGGGATCTGGGAATGAAATGCCGTAAATTCTCTGCAGAGTCTCCATATCTGCTTTGCCTTCCCAATATGTGGAGGAATTCTGAAAAAGGGATTAACCATGAAAGATCACCACATTTGTAAATCTCATTTTAAGAACTGGAGCAGGTGAAGCCGCAGCCTGCAATGCCAGCATCCCATATGGGTGCTGGTTTGAGACCCGGCTGCACCACTTCCAATCCTGTTCTTGCTGTGGCCTGGGAAAGCAGTGGAAGGTGGCCCACACTGCACCCATGTGGGAGACCCGGAAGAAGCTCCTGGCTTTGGATCGGTGCAGCTCCGGCTGTTGCGGCCAATTGGAGAGTGAACCAGTGGATAGAAGACCTCTCTGTGTGTAATTCTGACATTTAAGTAAATAAATAAATCTTTAAAAAAAAAATTAGAGGGGCCAATGTGTGGCACAGGTTAAACCCCAGCCTGCACTGTTGGCATTCCAAATGGGTCCCAGTTCTAGTCTTGGTTGTTCCACTTCTGATCCAGCTCCCTGCTAATGTGCCAGAGAGAGAGAAGATGGCCCAAGAACTTATGGCCCTGCTCCGAGGTAGGAGACCCAAAAGCAGCTCCTGGCTTTGGCCTGAGCCAGCCCTGGTCATTGTAGTCATCTGGAAAGTAAACCAGCAGATGAAAGACCTGCCTCCCCCTCTAACTCTTTCAAATAAATAATAAACCTTTAAGAGTTGGATCTTATTTCTCAGTTATTTTATAAGTCAAATTAGTATTAGTCCTTTGAACAAGACAAATGGCATAAAAAAATTGCAGAGTGTCTCCTGTGGTTCTGAGGCATAGCTGGAGTAGCTAGACTCATTCCACAGCCAAAGGTAGTTATCTTCATCCTTCAAAAAGAATGCCATTCTTCAATTTTCATTCACTTAGGCCATGGACATTACTCTGACTGCAAGGGCATGTCTCACAAAAAGACTAAGCAAAAATGAAAATGAAACAAAAACATCCTGAAATGTCAACTATTCTCATGATTTAAAGTGCCTTTTAATACTAATAATTTAATAATTAAATGTATGAACTGTAGTCTGCATTGCATAACAGTGTTTCGGGTAATGAAGGACAATATCTAAGGCCATGGTCCTGGTCCTGGTCCTGGGCCAGCGCTGTGGCACATCCTGTATCAGGGCAGGGGCTGCTCCACTTCCCATCCAGCTCCCTACTCCCATCCAGCTCCCTACTAATGGCCTGGGAAAACCAGCAGAAGATGGCCCAACGTTTGGGTCCCTGGAATCCACGTAGAAGATCTGAATTAAGTTCTTCGCTTTAGCCTAGCCTAGCCTAGCCCTGGCCATTGCAGCCATCTGGGGAGTGAACCAGCAAATGGAATCTGACTCTCTCAAATAAATAAAACTTAAAAACAAAACAAAAAATATCACTGTCCTACTAAGACCATATCATCTAGTGACATATTCATCTTGGCTTGGGTAAGAACACTGTGGTGCTTGGGTAACAACAAAATAACCTAAAGGCACATTTCTCAGAATGTATCCTCACTGGTATTAAATGCACAGCTGTAGTAGAAAACTGTAGAATTCGGTTTATAGTTTTATTAAAAAGGACAACTTGGGTGTATACAAAGGGCCAAAGCACACCCTCCTACAGTGAGTCTCACAGCCATTATTTCATGATGGGTGAATTCCCTGCAGTTCCACCCTATGGAGATCATGGATGAAATTAATGACTCCCGGTGAGAACCTGAGTTATAAAAGCCTGAAGACAAAGAAAAAAAATGACCTTACGTGGTTGGGAAAAAAAATGGTGGAAGAGAAAAACCCATACAAATTTAAGCACATACCTATACTAGGCAAATAAGTTACATAGTCTTTAAAGTTACATTACTTACTTTGTGTATTTTTAAAGTCTTAATTTTTCCTGTGTGTCTCACATGAGGACCCCGGCAGAGGTCTATCAAGGGGCCACATCTAAAGACAAAATGAAAAAAATGTTAACAAATACAAAGTCATACAGCCCAATTGCATTTAATGACATCTGATATTCTCACCTATAGACTGTAGTAGTTGGGGTATTCACTTTTTCATTAAGTATCCGGCATTTGAACTTGTTGTACTGAAAACAGAAACAATTTTTAAGACCCCTCCTTTAATTTGTACCTCAAAATATGGTTGCTAAAATATAACTCAAAGTATATCAGAATTGTATGAGTATAAAAATGCCAATATGTCACCCATCAAAATTCTTCTCAAGAACAAAATAGATTTCCTTTAATACCCTAAAGCCCAATGGTACAAGTCATGGATGATGTAAAAGTTGAAGCCACAAAACAGCAAATTAAAAAAAAAAAGTTGAGGCTGTTACAATTAAATTTACCTTAAACATTTCCAATAAAGTTTCTTTCTTAACTTCTAATCTTTCAAAAGCTTGTTTTTCTTTCATGATTTTCTTACATACAGTCTCCAAGGAAGCGAAGTCATTGCTGGACACACCCCTGAGGGACGAGAAAGCAATATCTCTTACCATTTCATGCTGACCACTTGCTGGCTTACACCAATGTTTCCTAGGACACTTTAGAGGTAGAAAGGGTTAACATTGGGCCCTTGCATCATGTATGTGTTGACTATTTTTCCATAAATTATTTTCGTATTTCATGCATACAGTGCTTTGCACCTTTGTCTTCACAGAGACCTTCTCACTAGTGCCTCCTCCCTCCCACCAGCTTTGTTTTATATTTCTCAATATATCCAGGGGCTTTAATTCCATCAATCTAGATCAGAGATCTCAGGAAAGCCTCTATCAACAAGTAAACTGCAACACTTCCAGTTTTGACAATGCGAACACTCGGTAGCAGAAAGCAATGACCTGGGTGTCCTGACTCCTTAAAAAAAAAAAAAAAGGCACATTCACAGACTCAGTCACCCACATTTTGTTTTCTTTATCCAGCACCACAGCTTACCCTTCTTCAAGGTACATGTCGTAATAGAACCCATTCTCTATGGGTGGCCCATAGCATAAACATCCACCATAGACTCTCTCCATAGCCTCACCCATAATGTGAGCACTGGAGTGCCAATAGACCTGAAATATTAAGAAAAAAAGAGTAGTTTCAGTGCTGGCACACAAGTTGTTGGCTAACAAGGTCATTTTAAAGAGCACAATTTATTACAAACAAAATCAATTAAAAAAAATCTCAATTTATAAATCTGTCAACTACAATGATTTTACCTACAGCCAAACTAATTTTAAAAGGTCTCTATGGGCTGGTGCTGTGGTGTATCAGGTAAAGCCGCCACCTGAGGTGCCAGCATCCTATATGGATGCCTGTTCAACTCCTGGCTGCTTCACTTCCAATCCAGCTCTCTGCCATGGCCTGGGAAAGCAGAAGATGGCCCGAGTTCTTGGGCCCCTGCACCTATGTGGGAGACCTTGATGAAGCTCCTGGCTCCTCATTGGAGCAGCTGGGCCATTGCAGCCAATTGGGAACTGAACCATCAGATGGAAGACCTCTCTCTCTCTGCCTCTCCTCTCTCAGTGTAACTCTGACTTTCAAATAAATAAATAAATCTTTAAAAAAAAAAAAAAAAAAAGAAAGGAAAATAAAATGGTGGTGCTAGTGCTGTGGCACAGTGGGTAAAGCCCCCACCTGCAGTGCCAGCATCCCATATGTGTGCCAGTTTGAGCCCCGGCTGCTTCATGTCCAATGCAGCTCTCTACTATGGCCAGGGAAAGCAGTAGAAAATGAAGAGCAACATTTGGCCACTGGCTCTTGTGTATGCGTGTAACCTGAGGGGAAAATCTGCAGTCCCATTGACTTTGAGCATGGCCAGGAAACCACGGAAGACCATGAGGTGTCTGCAGCCTCCCAGAATCAGTATTCCTAGTGGGAACTGGCTCAGGGAACATCTGTCTCTTGCTAACTGGACAGGATGGCAGGGCAGAAGGAAACCTCTGCACCCAGAGACCGTGGGGGCCTTGTGTACTGAGACTGTGGGGACTCGGTGGTACATGCGAGGGTGCAGGGTGTAGCTGGGTCTCTGGGAAATCACTGGTGTGGCTCCACACACTTGGAGCTTCTTGGTTGCTTAGGGCAGATCATTACAGCAGGAACTGCACTCACAGTGAGGAATGCACAGAGCGTTTGTGCAGTTCATACGGAGGTGTGGATGAGCACTGAATACACTGAGGGCTAACACCCAGGCACTGCTCAGCATGGAGGAGAGGAGGTGAGGCGGTGATCACACTGATGAGACCCCTTCTGTTAATAAGAGGAGATCTACCATGCCCAATGGGGGCATTACCATGGATACTCGCCCCAGCCTGAAGCACTGACCAGAGCTCCCGGCCACATCTACCACACATCTCTTGGTATTCACTGAAAGTGCAGATATTCTAAGAAACAGAGGCACGGCTCAAAGATAAGAGCCATCAGAGGAAAATAACAATTAACTCCACAAAGGCCTAACAATAAATGCAGAAATTCAAGAAACAAGAATAAGACAGACACTATGAACACCCCCAAAGGAACACAATAACGTTTCAATATTAGAATGTGAAGATGAAGAATTTGATGAAATGCCGAAACAAAATTCAAAAAAATCATAGGATTACTGAAAAGCAATCAAAAGCAAATCCACAAACTAAAACCATACATGAATGAAAATTTTTCCCATGAAATTGATATTTTAAAGAGAAATCAAAAATATTAGAAATGAAGAATTCAATAGATCAAATAAAAACTGCAGTGGGAAGCTTTATCAGCATTTGGTGAGGCAGAAGAAAGAATATTTGAGTTAGAAGATAAGTCTTTGGAAATCTTTCATTCAGAACAAAAATAAGAAATTTGAAAACTTAAAAACAGTGTTGGAGACTTACAAGATACCATCAAACATATGGGTCTGGGGAGTTCCTGAAGGTGGGGAAAGAGAATGGACTAAAGGCCTACTTAGTGAAATAATTACAGAAAACTTCCCTAAGTTGGAGAAAGAAAGAGACATGCAAATACAGGAAGCACACAGAACTCCTAATAGGCATAACCAGAAATGATCTTCATGCCACAATGCAGTCAAACTTTCCACAGTAAAACATAAAGAAAAGTTCTAAAATGTGCAGGAGAGAAATATCAGGTCACTTTCAGAGGATCTCCAATTATATGCGCAGCTGACTTCTCAGAAACCCTACAGGCTAGATGGGAATGGTGAGACATAGTCCATGTCTTAAGAGAAAAAAATGGGGGCTGATGCTGTGGCGTAGCAGGTAGAGCTGCCACCTGCAGTGCCAGCATTCCACGAGTCCTGGCTGCTCCACTTCAGATCCAGCTCTCTGCTATGGCCTGGGGAAAGCAGTGAAGGATGGCCCAAGTCCTTGGGCTCCTGCACTGGCATGGGAGGCTCAGAGAAAGCTCCTGGTTCCTGACTTCAAATTTGTGCAGCTCCAGCCGTTGCGGCCACCTAGGGAGTGAACCAGTGGATAGAAGATCCCCTCCCCCCCGAGCATCTTTTAAAAAAGATTTATTTATTTGAAAGGCAATTACATAAATTTAAAAATGCAAGCAAACTGTTGAGTGGATAAAGGAATTATGGTGTACACACACACACACACACTGGAGTACTATTCAGCTGTAAAAAATTAAAAAAATGAAATCTTGTCTTTTGCATGCTCACAACTGGAAACCTATAATTATACTTAGTGAAATAAGTCAGTCCTTAAAAGAGATATTACGTTTTCCCTGATCTGAGGTAACTAACAGAGCATCTAAAATGTGGTATGTTGGAGTGAAATGGACTTTTTGAGATTCGATGATTGTGTACAGCCCTTGTCTCTACTGTTGAGGAACAGTGTTTTTTTTTTAGTTGACAGTATTTGTTGAACTCTTTACTTAGTGTAGTGATAATCTTCTGAGTAAAGTAGACTGAAAATGGTTCTTTATAAAAAATTAAGAATGGGAATGGGAGAGGAAAGAAGGGTGGGAGCATGGGTGAGAAGGTAGGGTAGGACGTATCACTGTTTTCCTAAAACTGTATATATGAAATACATGAAACTTGTATAACTTTAATAAATCGAAAAAAAATTCCCATATGATTCTTCCTCATGAAAGTATATAGTAATGAAAATAAACATATTCAACATCTCCTCTTAATTTTCTCAGGCAAGCCCTTTTAAATGCAAATTTCAAATATGACTATGACAATCACGAAAGTAGCAACAAGCTGGGATAAACTGCCAACATGAGCTGCCATTCAATGAACACTTACGGCCTGAGCTTCCTCATCCTCAAACTTGAGAAGTTCCAAGGTACAATCTTCCTCCAATGGGCGGTCTAGGTCCCAGACAACTTTATTCACTTTAGCAATAACAGTATTGTCAGCCAGGCCTTGACTTAAAAATATACACAAAAACACAAGAATTTTTTAAAAAATTAATTCCTTACAATACAACATTTAATATTAAGAACAGGAAAGAACTATATTATACATTAATACTCTGGTTATATACCTATATGTCTTATAAAATATAGATGTATCTATACCTTTCTGAAATAAAATGAAAAAGCAACAGTCTCCAAAAAAATGTACCCAAGAATATATATGCTGAAAATTCAGAATACTATTTAATCTGGGTATCTCCATGATGTTCAGCAGGTACACTCAACTAACAGAGGAGACTACACACCTTTTACACTGTTAAATCTCACAGAAGGCTTGAAGGTGTTAATGGAAAATCTGTCATCGAAGGCTCTTATTTTCTTCTTGCTCTGTGTAAAGGTTTACAACTAAATTTATACAACCACCCCTCCCTTAAAGATCAAGAAAAAAGTAGTGAAGAAAAAATTCCTATTCAATATTCAGTGCTCATGAGACTTTCCTGTAGATAACAGCCAATGTTTTCTTCCTCCATGAGAACAGATGGAACCAGTAAAATGATTAAAAATAAACATTTCACAAAACCTAACATGAATCTGACAGAGAGAAATGTCTGTTCATTTTGGTACAGAGTTTCCCAAGACTAACAAACAGATAAAGGTAACTAATATTGTCTGTATTTTGGAAATGACTTTCATCTTCTGGTCCACAATGGTGCCCTGAGATGGTTAACAATAGTGTTATTTTGAAAACACAGATAACATATAGGCCATCCTGAATCATTTTAGTCTTTCAAAGAAAGGATAAAGCAATTCATACTTTCTGATTTACAACCAAACAAAACTTCAAAGGAAAACCTTTTGAAGCAAAGGGAGCATGGCTTTTTCTCTTCCCTTTCATATTCACCACTAATCATTTGAACATTTAAATAGGCCATTATTCATATTCCAATAGAAAATAAATACTTATTCTGGAGTTGTACAAAAATGTCTTAATAAAGTACCCTGATTACAGACCAGCCTAAAGCCCCTCAAGGCTTTAAGCACTTCACTATATAAATCTGCAGTGCTTGCAAAAATTTTTTTCCAACAGGTCACTTGAAAAATTACAATCTATTCTGTACTAGATGAAAACACAGGAGAATGTTGAGAAAAAAGTTTCTGGACTCACAAAAGCATGAACTTTAATAATGACATGGCTATAATCTCATTGTGTGACAAAGGAGAAATCTAACCTGAAAGGTTGAACTGGTATTTAAACATCTATGCCATTTTCTAGGATCTCACCTGGTAAATTTGGTTATCACTGCAACTTTTTACTTCTTTGGGAGTAAGGCAGAAGTACCTGTCAAATCAACTGCAACACTCCACTCACTTTGTAAAAATAACCAATGTCCACAGCACAGTGACAGCTCATGGACTATTTTCTTTGACTCCTGCATAATATGCTTACCAAGATTCAACTGCATAGGTTTCCAAACCTGTTTATGTGGCTTCTAAAAAGCCAAGTTCAATAACTGGTAAGGGTTGATAAAGGTTGGGTAATGGGGAAAAAAACTTTGTCAAGGAAGGTATGGATAAAAATAACTACATAAACATCTGGAAAGATTCTGCAATCATGCCGTTTCTCATTTCTGTTATATTAATACAGGAACTCTAATTGGCATTCTCTATCCTCAAAAGTCCTGGCCTTACATAAAAAATAAATGAATATATATGCATATATTATATACTAAAACGTTTAAGACAAAAATTAGCAAGCATTTTCTAGAAAAGGGCATATGCTTGCTGTTGCATATTGTTCTTAGCTTTAACATGATGTAAAAAATAAAGAAAAGCAAAACATAAAAACCACTCTTACTTGGTTTAAGACATATGGTCATTTATCGGCCGGCGCCATGGCTCAATAGGCTAATCCTCCACCTTGCGGCGCTGGCACACTGGGTTCTAGTCCTGGTCGGGGCGCCGGATTCTTTCCCGGTTGCCCCTCTTCCAGTCTAGCTCTCTGGGGTGACCAGGGAAGGCAGTGGAGGATGGCCCAAGCGCTTGGGCCCTGCACCCATGGGAGACCAGGAGAAGCACCTGGCTCCTGCCTTCGGATCAGTGCGGTGCGCAGGCTGCAGCGCGCCAGCCATGGTGGCCATTGGAGAGTGAACCAATGGCAAAGGAAGACCTTTCTCTCTGTCTCTCTCTCTATCCACTCTGCCTGTCAAATGACCATATGTCTTTTTTTTTTTTTTATCAATTTATAACTTCCCGATTCTAATTTCCTGATTAACTGGCCAACCACTGATTCAATCACATCAATTACAAAGTATGCATTTATTTCTCAGTTACTTCAAATAATTTCCTCCCTGTCCAATTAGGTTTTAAGATTAGTATTCATAGGGCCAGGCTGTGGCATGGCAGGGAAAGTCACCACCTGCAGTGCCAGAATCCCATATGGGCATCAGTTTGAGTCCCAGCTGTTCCACTTCTTATCCAGCTCTCTACTTTGGCCTGGGAAAGCAGTAGAAGATGGCCCAAGTCCTTGGGCCCGTGCCCATGGGGGAGACCTGGCTCCTGGCTTCGGATCAGCTCAGCTCTGGCCATAGCAGCCATTTAGGGAGTAAACCAGCAGATCGAACACCTCTTTTTCTCTCTCTCTGCCTCTCTATAACTCTGCCTTTCAAAAAAACCTTTTAAAAAAATTAGGTATTCTTTGAATTTATAAACATATGCTTTTTTCATGTCACATATAAATTTCTTAACTTTCTCATGTAGCATGATCTGCCTTCACATTTAACTTCAAAACTGAGACATTTAAGGCAAAACCGGTAAAGCTTTCTACTTGATTCTGTGCCATTTATGATCAAAGTAGAACTACACACACAAATTTTCATAGGTACAAAGCAGATTCTTTCAGAAATTAACTTCAGATCCTGCCTGTAAGGTTCCACATCACTTTGGTTTTAAAAATCTGAAGCAATATAAACACCCAAATACTTTCAAGCAGTAACAAAGTATGAGGATAAAACTTGTCAAGAGAATAAATGTTTAGTAAGGTTAAAAACATCAGGAGGTCAAGGTAGATGTTTCTTGTACCTAATTCCACATGCAATTTGATAAGGTGTAGTCTTCCAGGATTCTGCATCGACCTGTTTGCCATCAGGCAGAGTGACTTTAATTGGCTTGCTGTGTTTCTCCGCCTTTTCTGCCAGGATGGAATCATGTTCTGCTTTTAGTTTATTATACATCTCAAGACGTGTGTTAATATATTCAGGCCAGGGGTTCAACTGCAAAGCAAATGTGAAAATTCAGAAAAAACTTGTCTTCCTTTTTAGAAAAAGAAATTATAAAATAGACAATATAAAAGCCACAATGACTGATCAATGCAATATGCTAACTGCCATAATCATGGGCATTGCTATAAAACTAATATCTACTTCTTATAATTTTACCTTAGAGGGCTGCCAACATCCTGAATTGACAAATACTATCATTTTGCAAAAAAAATTCCCATCAAGTGCTTTTATCTCTTTTTTAAAAATATTTATTTGAAAGGCAGAGAAAGAGAGAGAAAGGAGAGATGGAGACAGAGAGAATCTTCCATTTGCCAGTTCACTCCCCAAATGGCTGCCAAAAGGACTGGGTGAAGCCAGGGCCAGAAGACAGAAGCCAGGGAACTTCACCAGGTGTCCCATGTTGGTGGCAGGGGCCCAAACACTTAGGCCATCTTAGGCTGTTTTTCCAGGTATGTTAGCAGGGAGCTGAATGGGATGGCAGTGCTGCAGGCAGCTGCTTAACTCGTGCCCTGTGTGCTTTTAAAACGCCCTCTTAAGGTCTTTTCTAGCTAAATGAAATTACTATAGAAACAACTGGAGGCCTGAGTTGTGGCATAGCAGATCAAGCCACTCAGGCAACGCGAGCATCCCATATGAGTGCTAGTTCAATTCAGGGCCAGTCTGCTTCTGATACAGCTTCCTGCCAATGCCCCTGGGAAAGCAGCAAAAAATGGCCCAGGCACTTATGCCCTTGCCACCCACATGGGAGACCAGAATGGCATTCCAGACTCCTGGCTTCAGCCTTTTCCAGCTCTGGTCACTGCAGCCATCAGGGGAATGAACCAGCAGATGGAAGATCTCTGACTTTCCATCTGTCTTTCCTCCTCTCCTCTGTAACTCTGCCTTTCAAATGAATAAAATCTTAAAAAAATAAAAACTGGCTTTCATTCTGTTTCAGTCTTGTTCACAAGGTCTGCCTGTGTCTCCACTCACAACCACCCAGGAATTTGATTTAGGAATTCCCATATTTGAAAGTATCACTGAATTCAAAGAAGACAGGATCACATACTTTCTTGGGAGTATTTAAAACAGGGGCATGGGGCCAGCACTGTGGCATACCAGGCTACACTATCGCCTGCAGTGCCAGCATCCCATATGGGCGCCTGTTTGAGTCCCAGTTGCTCCACTTTCGACCCAGCTAACTGTTAATGCACCTGGGAAAGCAGTGGAAGATGGCCCGCCCAAGTGCCTGGTCCCCTGCACCACATGGAAAACCTGGAGAAAGCTCCTGGCTCCTAGCTTCAGTTTGGCCCAGCCCTGGCTGTTCTGGCCATTTGGGGAGTGAGCCAGCAAATGGAAGACTTCTCTCTCTGCCTTTCCCTTTCTGTAACTCCACATTTCAAATAAATAAATAAATCTTTAAAAAATAAAATACCACAATGCTACTCATTTAAATATTAGATAAAATCAACCAAAATATTCTGTACCTAGACTAGTATTGTGGCACAAAGGGTTTTAAGCCGCAGCTTGCAACACCACTGTCCCATAGCGGAGTACTAATTCAAGACTTGGCTACTCCTCTTCCCATCCAGCTTCCCACTAATGTGGCCATCTGGGGAGTGAACCAGCAGCTGAAGACCTCTGTCTCTTTCTGTCTCCCTTTCTTTGTTGTTCTGCCTTTCAAAAATCAAAAATCTGATACCCACTCAAGTTTAATAGTTTGGCAAATAAAAAGATAGAAATCAAAAATCTCACTTCCTCTAATGTCAGTCTACAAAACAGGTAGTGAATCTGTGGTCATAAAATAGCCAACCCACTAACATTGACAGTGTTTACAATCTTAAATGATGATAATGTTGATATTAGCAATTATACACAAAAGCAAAGTGGGGATGGCTTAATTTTTACCATGATTTTCTACCTTCGAATATATTTAATAAAAAAAATGACTTATTCCAATACAAGAAATTAACACTTATTCTATTTTGATAATGCTTCTAAATACATTCTATATACAACATAAAACACACTTAATCTGAAAGGAGTACAGACTATTATCCGAGAAAGTGACCTGAACTAATAGAAAATGAAAGTTGGGCCTACTCTGTGGCATAGTGGGCTAAGCCTCAGCCTGCGGCATCAGAATCCCATATGGGCTCTGGTTCAAGTCCTGGCTGCTCCTCTATGACCCAGCTCTCTGATATGGCCTTGAGAAAACAGTTGAAAACAGCCCAAGTGCTTGGGCTCCTGCACCTGGATGGGAGACATGAAGAAGCTCCTGGCTTCAGAAAGGCTTAGCTCCAGCCATTGCAGCCATCTGGGGAGTGAACCAGCAGACGGGAGACCTTTCTCTCTGCCTCTCCCTCTCTCTATAACTCCATCTCTCAAATAAATAAAATAGAATCTTAAAAAAAAAAAAAAAGAAAATGAAAGCCAACTACAGTATATAGACTCATTGTAAACAGCCTGGGTTCCATGGTTTCTGGTGACCATGGTTACCCACTAGGTCACCTTTAGAGGTTAATAACATTTTCCTAAACATCACAGCCAAAAACCAAAAAAACCCCACAAGATTAAAAACACATATTTACATATTTCAACCTATTAAAATACAACTTTTTGGAACAATTAAGCTTTCTATGTGAAGGAGCATTTTTATTTTTTCCATTATATAAAATTCCCTTCTCATTTCTTATCTTTTCTGTCTTCATCTTTTGAAATGGAAGAGCCCCAAATATCTTTGTAATTCTTGCCTTCAGTGTCTTTTTCATTAGCCCTCTCTGGGAGATTTTGATCACAGGTATCCATAATCCTACATGAAGAACCAATGAATTAATATCTAAAAGTCCACTCTGTCACTCTATGACCATAATCTGAACCTTTCAGTCCAAAGCATAGTCCCCAGTCCTACCCACCATGAACCCTCAGTCCTATCCCACCTACTCCCATAAACCTCTCCATTTTTCTGCAGTTTATATCCTCAAAACTTTGCATGTGATTACAATGAAAGTACAAAAAAGAAATTAGGGCCAATATGTATTTTGCATTTTTCTGTACTTCTTAGTCAGAAGAACTTAGGGTACAACTCAGTTTATTCAACATCCATTGAGCAGACGGTCCCTGGGCCTGGGCCTGGGCCTGGCTCCGGGAAGGCAGAGATGAGTAGAACTTGCACATCTCCCTCACAGGGAACAAGGCAAGTACACGATGACAGGATTGCAGGGGAGGAGGCAAGGGCCAGCACACTGCACTGTACAATCTTTCCACACCAATCCTTAAACATACACAAGTCTCACTCAAGATGGCCTATTCAGAAGGGCACTCTAATTGTACCCTTTGTTTCCCATTTCCAAGCTAACTCTCAAGCTGTGACAGAAGAGTATGACTGATTCATAAGCATTATTGTATTTACTTGCAAATTTTAAAATCACAATCAAAATCTGCCTTACATTGACAATGAAGTATAATGGACAAGAGATGGACCAAATGTAGGAGAAATGGTTAGGTGGAGCTCTAAGTATCACTATGCCCGAATACCGACACACTGGAAATCCCTAATTCAAAATCTGACACGCTCCCTCATCAAGCTCCAAAAGTTTCCATTTCTGAGCTTTTCAGATTTTGGGTTTTCAGATAAGGGATGCTTAACAGTGAAATCCCAAAATGTCGCAAATGTCCCAAAATCTGTAAAAGTCTGAAATTTAAAACAGTTCTGCTTCCAAGCATGTTAGAAAGGGCTACTCAACCTGCATAAACTTACTCACAAGTAAATGAAAGCACTACAAGCTGAGCAACTGCAGCACTTGTAAAGCCAGTCTGTTGTGCTACTGCTAAGCCTGCTCCTTTGAACTTCTTCCCTCTTGTAGTTTTCAAGCCTCCATCCAATAAAATGGCCATAATGACTAAAGCAAAAGTGAAGCACAGCTCACAGTAACTCAACCTCAACCATAATGTAGAAAGACAAGCTTAACTGCCAGTTAAGGCAAAACACGTAGGAGGCAGGCTGCATGTGGGCTAGTTTTGGTCATACCAGTTCCTTTTAGCATGAGCTCAGGGAACTGAGAGCATTCTCTGCACACTTGAAGGGACTCAAGGGATTTGTCCTGGCTTAAAACCAAAGTGCAAGAACAGGTCCAGTTGGCAACAGTGAGAAAGGGTCAAGCCATTTTTGGCTTCTGTAAATGCAGCAGAAGCTCAAACACCACCTTTTTATTTCCTTAATATCTCAATAAAATGATCAAACAGCTGCCATCCATTCTAGCAGATTATTACCGTAGTCCACGATTCCTCTGTGAAACCCCACAATCAGATCATCTTACAGTCTTACTCCAGCTGCTTTCCTTTTGCAATGACTACCAATCTTGTTCTCCCACTTGCAGAGTAGCTTTTCCTAATTCTTCTCCCCAATTTTCCTACTTAGTGCCATCTTACAAGCTCACGGGAAACACAGGATCCCTTCCACATAACCAGCCTGAGACAGCTGCCTAGTGTGTCCCAACTTTTGAGAACAGAGCACTCTGTGAGGATGACTTTTACCTCTGCTCGCCCTCCATCTCCAGATCCCTCTTTGTTCTTCTTCTTGCCTCCTTCCTTCCTCTTCTCCTCACCAGCACCTTCCTAAATAAGCAAAAAAGAAATGAGGGGTTTGTACTTTAATTTCACAGCCCTTCCCCCATAATACCCCAATGGTTTTGAAGATGTCATTTGAGTATGTTTAAAAAAACAAACAGAAATCTGATTTTGAAAGACTGAAAATTTCACTACTAACAAAGACAAGTCAACAACTTACAATAAAGACAAGTCCTAAAAGAGTAGAGTTACTGACCATGTTCGATTCCTCAAATTCCATTTAATTTTAACTATTCCTGGGATTTCTCACTGCAGGTTTACTTGTACCATGTTCTAAACATACAGCTACAAAGAAGCACACATGTACTCAGTAAGTGCATTTCCAGGAAAAGAAAAAAATCAAATGCAATATGTATCTCCCCATTCCACAGCACTTCCAAAAGCCTGTGTGCTCACAGCATTTTGCTAAATCCTGCAGAAGAAGCAAACCCAAGACCTAATCCCTACGACATGCAAACTTCATTTCTTCAGGACACCACGGCACACATGTATGAGGCTCTCCTGGAGAACACAGCAGCAATACCAGGAATAGTTGCCAAACAGGCTGCAATCACACTAAGTGCTAGGATGGAGAGGATTTTGGCAGATTGGATTGTGAAAACAGAGGAAATACATTCTAAGTATACACACAAGATGTCGTCAGAGTTTTTAAAACAAAAAACAAATCAAAGAGAAAATGATTAAACCAGATAGGCATATGAACTTCAATCAGAAGCAGTGAACTCACAGGAAGTTTTAAAATAGTTAGACCTGTACCAGGGATACTGAGTGACCAATATAAAGGAGGGGAGAAGTAAAGTACTGAATGTTTGTGATTTTTTCAGTCTCATTAAGATATAATTCATAAACCACACTACCTAACAGCATAAAGTGCACAATTCAATGGTTTTTAGTGTATTCATAGTTGTACAACTCTCATAATCCATTGCAGTGCATTTTCACCACCTCAAAAAAGAAACCCTGTCCCCAATATTAGTCACTCCCTTTCCCTCCTAACTCAGCCCTTGGTAGCCATTCACCTTCCTTCTGTCTCTATGGATTGGCCCATGCAGGTATTCCATATAAATAATCATACCATGAGTTCTTCTGTGACTACCTTCTTTTGCTCACCACAGTTTCAAATATTTGCTCATCATAATTTCAGATAGAAGTATTTCATTCCTTTTTATTGCCATATAATATCACATTGTTTATCCATTTATAATGGAATCTGTCATCTAAAACATGTTACTTGTACAATTTAAAAATAAAATTTTTAAAAGATTCCTAATTTTATCTCAAACTAACCCTTCTTTCACTTTAGGAGCCTAAGAATGAAATTTCTTTTTCTAGTAAAATGTTTTTGGTTGAGCCAGTGTTGTGTACAGTGGGTTAAGCAGCCACCTCAATGCTGGTATCCCATATGGGTACTTGTTCATGAGCCAGCTGCTTCACTTCCGATCCAGCTCCCTGCTATCATGCCTGGGAAGGCAGAGGAATATGGCCCAAGTACTTGGCTCCTTTCACTCATGTGGGAAAACCAGAAGATGCTCCTGGTGTCAACCTAACCCAACCCTGGCTGTTGAGGCCATATGGGGATTGAACCAGTGGATGGAAAATGGATCTCTCTCTCTCTCCCTCTAACTCTGCCTTTCAAACAAATTAATTTTTTTTAAAAAAATTTGGTTTTGGTCATTTAACAAATGAATGGGTGTAGTGAAAAAAGGGGGAGAAAATTAACAAGAATTTTGTGTTCCAAATAATTCTCCCTTTCACAAATGAGCACAAACCCTCAAAGAAGGTGATTTGTCCACTTTTATACAGATAGTAGGTGGTAGAGTTGGGAAACCGAAACAGGCCTTTCTGAAACAGAGGCCCATTCCCTCCTTACACCTACTGGGAAGATGGTGGGTAGCTGTTCTCTACTCAATGAAGGCAGGAAAGAAAAAAATATGACTTTGTGTATTACATAATTATGTAACAACAATTTAAAATTTCAAAGCAGGGGCCAGCGCTGTGGTGCAGCGGGTTAACGCCCTGGCCTGAAGCACTGGCATCCCATATGGGCACCGGTTCTAGTCCCGGATGCTCCTCTTCTGATCCAGCTCTCTGCTATGGCCTGGGAAAGCAGTAGAAGATGGCCCAAGTCCTTGGGCCCCTGCACCTGCCTAGGAGACCTGAAGATGCTCCTGATCGGCACAGCTCTAGCCGTTGCGGCCAACTGGGGAATGAACCAGCAGATGGAAGACCTCTCTCTCTGCTTCTCCTTTCTCTGTGTAACTCTTTCAAATAAATAAATATAAAAAAAATAAAATTTCAATGCAAAAGTCGGGGCAGAGAACTGGACTGTGAAGGGAAGCTAGGAATTACCTTCTTCGAGGATGCTAGAGTCGAAAAGAAAGTATCTACAGAACATAGTTCAAATAAACTCAATCCCAGACAGCTGAGACAGGAATGTTCTGTAATTCCAAAAACTTGACTGAGGGGTAGATATTGTGGTGATGGCACAGGTTAAGCCATGACTTGGGACACCCATGTTTTACGCTGAAGCACTGGTTCCAGTCCCAGCTACTTGGTGAACCCAATTCTCAGCTAATGTGCCCAGAAGGCAGCAGAAGGGACCCACATCCTTGGGGTCCTGCCACCACCCATTTGGGAGACCTGAATTGAGTTCCTGGCTCCTGGTTTCGGCTGGACTATCTCTTGTTCTTGTGGCCATTTGGGGAGTGAACCAGCAGATAGAAGAAAATAACTCTGCCACTGTGCCTTTGAAACAAATTAAAAAAAAACACAAAACTATAATCGGGGGGTGGCAGGTGCTATGGTATATAGCAGGTTAAGCAGCCACCTGCAGCACTGTATACCATAGGGGTGTCGGTTCAAATCCCAGGTGCTCCACTTCCAATCCAGCTCCCTGCTAATGTGCTGGGAAAGCAGAAGATGGCCCAAGTCCTTGGGCCCTTGCACCCATGTGGGAGACTCAGATAAAGCCCCTGGCTTTGGCCTGGTTCAACCCTGGCCACTGCAGCCATTTGGGGAGTGAACCAGCATATGGGAGATTTTCCTTTCTCTGCAACACTGCCTTTCAAATAAAACAAATATTTAATTTGTCATAGTATTTGTCTTTGACTCATTCCCTGGCAGAAGATGGGAGACAGGACTATAGGGGTTAGGAGTACTGACGACAGAATACTGAGTTTGAGTGAGTTACTGTTCCTATGCTTGTTTTCTCACCTGTATGATGGGGGTATAAACAGAATCCAGTTCACAGGGTTACTATGAGAACTGAATGAAGCACTCAATGCATTCATATTGAGCCATATCCATAGTTAGCATTCAATAAATGTTAGCTATTGTATAATTCATTATTCAAGAGGGAGAAATCTCATATAAAGGTTATTCAAAAAGTTCATGGTGGGAAGGTGGTGTAGTGGTCCCAAGATGCTCCTTGGAACTCCCAAATCCCATTGGAAGTGCCTGGATCAAGTCCCTGCCCTGCTACTAATTCCAGCCTTTTTCTAATGTGCACTCTGGGAGACAGCAGGTATTGGCTCAAGTACTTGGTTCCCTGCCACCCATGTGGGAGACTCAGATTATAGCTCCTGGCTACAGGATGGCCCAGTAACAGCTGTTGCAGGCATTTGGGGAGTAAACCAGCAAATGGGAGGTCTATCTCCTTCAAATAAATAATAATGTTTAAGTTCATGGAAAATGTGTATTATGAAAAAACTATGCATGGATTTCAATTAATTTTTGCACCAAAATAAATCTCTTAAATTCCATTGTCCATTAACTTTGAAAGATGAAACCAAAAGCAAATTAGAGAACAGTGAAAATATCACTTTTAAATGGGAAAAAAAGATGGAAAAAGTCTACATATAGCCAGTACTTACCACCTTAAATAAAATTTATGTAACTTAGAAACACTCAAATACATTTTTCCAATTTGAATCTCTGAAGGAACTGAAAAAAACTGTCTTTTAGGGTTCCTGTACTGTCAGAGCAAGGGAGGCTACTTGGGTTGAAGCTCTCCCCCTTCTATCCCACCACCAGAGGCTTTTACAAATACAGCCCAGGTCTAACACATCCCTGCTTGAAAAACTTCATGCGTAGAATATGATCATCCTTGATTGCCCAAGATCTTTCTGATGGCTATACCTCTGCCTCAAGCATATCTCTTGCAAGCAACCTGACAGACAGGAGTCACTACCCAAATGCCTTCTCCACCTGGGAAAACACTGCTCCGCCTGGTTTCCCAGGTGAACTCATTCTTCCACATTCAAACCCCTCCCAACCACAGTGAAGTGCTTTCTCTTCTGGAATCCCAGAGTTGATCACACATCACTATAACTTTAGGACTTAGGAGGTTCTCAAAGCCAGGGACTGGGTCCTATTCATTTTCCTACCTGGCTCACTCAGCTTGCTGCCAGGCATAACAAAAACTGAGAAATTTTAAATGATCATTTAAAGACAAACTTTACGTGGCAGCATCAAAGAGAGGTGGGGTATGTCTTTATGCCAAGGATGACGCCCAAGAGAAAGTTCAAAAGGTGAAGCCATCAGCTCGCATGAATTTATTAAGGCCAGCTGCAGCCTAGACAGGCGCAGCTTCTCAGCCATTCGTAAACTGTGAACAGCCGGTCTCCACCACTCACGAGTGTGGGGAAATTGCCTAAACCTGGGCAAGGTGGAGCAGATTTCGGGGGCTTGGTTTTCCCTTCCTTAAACTGGGGATCTTTCACCCTACAGCGTTTTAGGATTAAATGAAGCTCTGTAATATGCTTCCGGCAGAAAAAGCGCCAGAACACAAGTCTGGGAGTCGCGAGTAATGACTCGAGGTCTCCCTTTCCTCATCCGAAAAATGAGAATGAACCACGGACGACTCCTGTCCAATCGGGTCCCCGACGTGTCCGGGAGTTCTACGTCCGTCCCGGCCACACTCGGCCCCCGCTGCTTCCTGCCTCCCGCCCGCCGCCGACCGCCAGCGTTGGCATTCAACGTCCTGGCCCAGCTCTGGGTCCCCCCACCAAACTGGCTCACCGACTTCTCCTCGCCTCCCATCTTCCCTGAAGGGCTGCTGGCCGCTTCCTCTAACATCGGACTACGCAGAGCCGCGAGCGAAGGTCTGGAGGAAGGCGGAGGCCGGGCAGAAGCGCGCCCTGGTCTCCGAGGAAGACGGCGCTCGCACCACGTTGCCCCTGGCGCACCAGCTGATGCAACCTGCAGGCGCCTGCGCCCGCCTCTAGCTGCCCGGGGAAGGGCAAGCCAATCGGCGACGGCGGGAGACGGGCCCTCCGCCCTGTGAACCAATGAGAAGGCTTGTTGGGGGACAGCCCTTCTAGGAAATCAGGGCGTGGCAAACGAGGGGAAGCTGGGAGAGGGGAACGCGCGGAGCTGGACCCGTACTTCTCCCGGACCCTCCACTAAACCCCAATCCGGAGGCGAGGCTTTTGCAATGCGCATGCGCCCTTCTTTCCGGCTGCTTTCGGCCGCATAATCAGGATCCTTTTCGGCCACCGTAGCCAACGACAAGTACTCGGAGTTTCCGGGAAATCTTGAACCAGCACCTGGCTCTGAGGTGCATCTTAGGGTGCAGTTCCGGGTTTCCTGTGGCTTTACTGCCGCCTAACTTGGCGTGAGTGATGAGCCCTGACCACAGTCAGTAGCCGTGAATCGAGCTTTTCCCTTGGCCGTCCTGGCTTCCCGTGACCCGCGTCCTGGTGATGAGGGGCGAGCGTCTTTCCCCGAACATTCTGTAATACATCAGGAAGCGTTTCCACACGGCCCGTGAAAATACAGTGAAACTTTTCCCTAAGAAGATAACCATGCTGACTCCACGGATTCTCACGCTTAGGTGTCTGTGTCTGGAACCGAGTGGGATTGTTTGGTTTATTTTACTAGCCAACTTATTAGACAATTGCTTTTTAAACTCAGGAGCCCAATGAGCGTGTCTTCGTGACGTACTCCATCACAACCTTTTACGGATTTTTACTTCCTAAAAGGTTCTCTTCTGAACAACTTTCAGCCTTCGGGTTATCCCAGCTGCAAAGAACAGCAGTTGCCTAATCCAGTTTTCTGCAAACAGTGTTACTATCAGGATAGTCTTCGAATACAAATCAAGTTAATCCTTTGCTTAAAACTCTGCAGTGGCTTTCTCTTGCTCTTAGAATAAGAGCAAGAGCATAAAAACCCCCAGCCTTATGACATTGAAGCCCCCTAACTGTCCAACTCTGCAGCCTCTCTTTCCCCCACCGTAAACTGAGCTCATAACTGACAATTCAGAGGCTGGCTGAAAAATCAAAGCTCAAGTTTATTCAGCGTCAAACTGAGGATTTAAACCCAGAAACAACCAGTTAGTGGCCTGATGTGGCTGTTCTGAAAGCCTCCCTTGGCTCCAGTTTTATACTGTTCTTGCAGGGTGAGTACATGCATTGAATTGTTGCAGAGCAATACCCCCAAACTAGTTGGAAGTGTTGCTAATAGAACCGCCAAACCTGAATCTGCTCGCTGGATGCTCGGAAAGCCAGTCACTGGCATGAGGGTGGTGGATGAAGGGCAGCTAATGCTTAATTCCTGGGCTCCCTGAGGAAGTAGGGGTGAAGGTTCTTATAGGTTGAAATTGGGGCTGAGAGGCACCATGTTCAGCTCGTGTCCAGCTCATGTCCAGGTTTCTGGTTGGCCTTCCTTTGATTGGTGAAGCTGTGCTCTTTAGGGGCTTTATGAAGGCCAGGTGGGCTTCAGTTGGTTTGTGAGTGGTGGTTACCTTCTGCCCCAGACCTGGAATTTCCCTGAGCAAACACCTGTGAACAATACTGGCCAATAGGACTTGTCTCTTGGAGAAGAAAATGACTCCTTGAGTCCAGTGATTAGTACCTTGTCAGGCCACATACATGTAGCTCTCCCTCAAATCAGTGAATTCCAATCGATTACACTGGGCTAAGGGAGACAGACAAGAGGCTAGATAGGTCCTGCCTTTACATTATAGAGGTTTGGTGTCAGAAACAGGCTAAAACAATGTAGAGTTATGTGTTATTGATCACATTGAAAATAAAATAACAATCATTGAAAACTGAAGAGTACTTGGTAATAGCTGACAGACTTGGTTATTATGAAGGAGGTACATAGCATTCCTATACTCATTCTCATTTGGGGTGTTATCTCTATGCAGGGAGAGGGAACAGGGGGGCCCTTAATCACTTTTCCTACAATGGCCCCAAGACTTAAAACTTATTCCTGCTTAATGTTTCTTTGGTCATGGCTGAGTTTCCCTGAAAGATCCTATTACCTGGGATCCAGCTACAGGGCACCTCCCAGCACAGACAGCATCCTCGCTGGCCTAGGCCCCTATAGAAGATATAAATTTAAATTCACAGCTCCAGCCATAGTGACCTTTTTTCTCCAAGTGTCTCCCACAGGGTTTTTTTTTTTTTTGGGGGGGGGGTGGACCTAACAAGATTATTCTCCCTAATTCCCTTTGTCCTTTGTGTACCACTATGTACCTTTTGCCTATTTGACACCTAGTTGGCAAGTCTCAGGAGAACTCTTATCTGACCTCCTTTACTGTATGGAGCAAGTGTCCCTGTTCTGTCTGCTGGTGGTTCCATGTGGCTGTCTTGGCAGCACCTATCAGTTCAAGTTTATAATTTTTTAAAAACCTTTATCTCCTAGATTGAAAATTTCACTAAGATACAGCTTGTGCATTTTTGCCAGCACCTAGAAGGTGTAAATATAGTATACAACCAGATATTCAGTAAGAGTTGAAAAAAAATCTGAGTGTTGAGATAAACCTTAGTTCTTTGATTATTTTAGGATGGGGGGAGAAAAAGCCAGACCCGAGGGATCCAGAAATTTTTTTTAAAGATTTATTTATTTATTTGAAAGCCAGAGTTACACAGAGAGGAGAGGCAGAGAGAGAGAAAGAGAGAAAGAAAGAGAAAGAGAGAGAGAGAGAGAGAGGTTTTCCATCCACTGGTTCATTCCCCAGCTGGTTGAGAGAGAGAGAGAGAGAGAGAGAGAGAGAGGTCTTCCATCCACTGGTTCATTCCCCAGCTGGTTGCAATGGCCAGAGCTGTGCTGATCTGAAGGAAGGAGCCAGGAGCCTCTTCCAGGTCTTCCACATGAGTGCAGGGGCCCAAGGGCTTGAGCCATCCTCCACTGTTTTCCCAGGCCATAGCAGAAACCTGGATTGGAAGAGGAGCAGCTGGGACTTGAACCAGTGCCCAAATGGGATGCCAGCACTGCAGGTGGTGGCCCCACCTGCTATGCCACACCGCTGGCCCCAGATTCAGAGGTTTTTAACAAGATTAGATTATTAGCAGTACTTAGTGGGTGTTTACTTTTATTTTTTGAAAGATTTATTTATTTGAAAGGCCAAGTACAGAGTAGGAGGAAGAGTCAGAGAGATAGAGGGAGAGAGAGGTATCTGCCATCTACTCGTTCACTCCTAAAATGGCCACAATTGCTAGGACTGGGTCAGGCAAAACAACGAGCCAGGAACTCTATCCTGGTCTGCCACATAGGTTGCAGGGGCCCAAGAATGTGTGCTGTCATCCATTCTTCCCAGGCACACATTACCGAACAGCTTGCTAGGAAGTGGAGTAGCCAGGACTCCAACCAGCATGTGGATATGGGATGATGGTGTCACAGCTATGGCTTAACCCTGTGCACCACAACATGGTCCCTGGTGTGTTAACCTTAGAATGTTTCAGAAATTATATGCAATTATTTTTAAATTTTTTATGAGCTGGATCTACATTAGAGGTTTTTTAAAGTCTCAACATTAGAGGTTTTTTTTTTTTTAACTTGCATCCTATTAAATCCATAATCTTTCAAAACTGGTTATTCAGCTATAACAGAAGAGAAATTAATGTAATGGGTATAAAGTTATTATCACAGTCTCTAGTGATAATTTTTAATCATTATTGGTCATAACCCCTGTTTGATCCAAACCAGCATTGTAATATCCTCTTTTGTTCCATTGTTAATAATGTGATAGGTTCAGGTGTTGTGGTACCATGGGTTAAGCTACCACTTGGGGTGCCTGCATTCCATATATAAGTGTTCAAGTCCTCATTCCTCCACTTTTTTTAAAGATTTATTTATTCATTTGAAAGTCAATGAGAGAGACAGAGAGAGACAGAGAGAATGAATATGAGAATCTTCCATCTTCCATCTGCTGGTTCACTCCCCAAACGGTCTCAATGGCTAGGGCTGGGCCAGGCTAAAGCCAGGAGCCAGGAGCTTCATCCAGGTCTCTCACATGCTCCTTCACTTCTTACTCAGTTCCTGCTAATGGGAAGGCGGCAGATGATTCTACACCAATGTTGGTGATTCAGATGCAATTTCTGTCTCGTGGATTTAGCCTGGCCCAGTTCTGGCTGTTACAGGCTGGAAGTTAAAACTTTTAAAAAAATGTGTATATTTATTTGAAAGGCAAAGGGACAGAGAAAGAAAAAATAAATCTTTCATTTCCTTCCATTTCTACAATATGGGTCTGGCACATGAGCTGCAGGAACCCAAGTACTTGAGCCATTTCCTGTTGTTCCCAAAGTGCATATTAGCAAGTAGCTGAATCAGGATTACAGAAGGGAGATATGGGATATAGGCATCTCAAGAAGGATTCTTTTTTTTTTTTTAAAGATTTTATTTATTTATTTGAGAAGAAAAGTTAGAGAGAGAGAGAGGTAGAGACAGAGAAAGAGGTCTTCCATCTGCTGGTTCACTCCCCAGATGGCCACAACAGCTGAACCTGAGCCGATCCAAAGCCAGGAGCTAGGCGCTTCTTCCGGGTCTCCCATGTGGGTGCAGGGGCCTAAGTACTTGGCCCATCTTCCACTGCTTTCCCAGGCCATAGCAGAGAGCTGAATAAGAAGAGGAGCAGCTGGGACTAGAACCAGTGCCCGTATGGGATGCCAGCGCTTCAGGCCAGGGCTTTAACCTGCTGCGCCATAGCGCTGGCCCCTAGTCTTAACTTCTCATGTAAAATGACTTTATTATGCTTGTTGGGCAAGTATGCTGAATTTCAGCTTAATTTTAAATAAGGAGATGACCAGAGATCAAGATAATTGAGGTTGCTAGAGGCAGAACAAAACAGTATTGGATGCAAAGATTGTTGTAATTGCTATACTACAGAGTCTCTGACAGCTTCTTCTTTCTTTTTATAAATATTTGTTTTATTTATTTGAAAGGCAGTTACAGAGAGAGGGAGAGACAGAGTTCTTCCATTCATTGGTTA